AAAAAGATATAGTATGTTAATTATTTGAACAAGTTAAAAAAAATGTCAACAAATAGTTAAAGTTCAAATTAGTCGCAACTGATTGCCAACTACTTGTTGCCATCCATTCAAGAAGCCAGATAATAAACGTCAAAACAATTACTGAATGTCCTAGTATGACAAATTTTAAATAAAAGTTTGAAATAAAATTGAAAGCTGTAGTATTTTTACCCATTTGTATAATAATGACAAACTACATATTACACATATAAATTGTTGCAAAGTGTTGACCTAACTTTACACGGTGTTGTTTTTCAGGGCACATTATCAGTTGGAAAACAAACCGTGCGACCCAATCGTGTTCACATTGACACGTCAATGCTAAATAGTTTTATTAGTTCTCGTACATGATATCAATAACGCCGATGTTTGCATTAATTTCATTATTAATGGTCTCAGTCGATTACACTTGCATGGGTGTGGCGCATCGGCGAAATAATTACCATTCGCGTTCGCATCTCAGTAAACAGGTAGTAGACAAACGTTTAAGAGGAAATCTTCGACTGTAATTTTTTATATAGATTCATGATAAATTATGACGAATATATATATATATATATATATATATATATATATGAGTGAGTTCTTGAGGGCGATACATCAAACAAAGAAAAGCCAAAGATTTATAAAATAATCTTTATTTCCAAACGTTTCGACATTCAATTTAATGTCATCATCAGTGGATATTACGTTGGTTGGTTACATATAGAGAAGTGTACACAGCACTAGAGATTGGCACTAACATTTATACAACTAACTTGTCAGCACTATGCATTTTTTATATAATTTTTTTGTATGATGTAAACAGAAAAATGATAGTTTTATTGAACAAAAATGTATGTATTGATACATGCCTCGGTACTAGCAAAGTACAGAAGTCGTGGCAGAAATTACATAATTCTACTTACATTTTTGTTCAATAAAACTATCATTTTTCTGTTTACATCATACAAAAAAATTATATAAAAAATGCATAGTGCTGACAAGTTAGTTGTATAAATGTTAGTGCCAATCTCTAGTGCTGTGTACACTTCTCTATATGTAACCAACCAACGTAATATCCACTGATGATGACATTAAATTGAATGTCGAAACGTTTGGAAATAAAGATTATTTTATAAATCTTTGGCTTTTCTTTGTTTGATGTATCGCCCTCAAGAACTCACTCATATATTTCAACATCAAAATTAACTACTAAATCATATATATATATATATATATATATATATATATATATATATATAAAATAATGTACAGAAATATGACAATATAATCAAAATGAAAATAATAAGAATAAATGAGTGAATATAATAAAAAAAATACAATGCAGACACAAAAAAGATCAGTGGCAATTTATTAAAGTCATATTAATATACCTTTTAAATTCTAGTCCATTCAAAACAAATTCGTTTTTTGTCCAAAAAATTTTACTTATATTTAAAAATAGTTCAGAATGCTTGATACGTTGAGAAAACCAAAATTTGCAAATCGGATTTTTTTGGCGAAAACATAAACTTCTCCTTCGGGTATTGAAGAAAATATTAATTTGGAATATGTACCCTATTTAACTTTATTTGACTGCAGTAAAAGCCGGCTATTTCCATATTGCAGGCAATCCAATTTTCCAAATGTATCCAAATACAGATAGATGTATTGATGGAATTAATTGCAAAAAACGTGCTTTGTTCTATTGTTCTCCATATTAATTACCGATTACTATATTTTTTAACTTTCCGTAGGGTAAGTTATTGTAATCGTCCAAAAATGGAAATTCAAAATTTTTTACATTTCCTCACGTTTTGAAGGTTTCTGAATATTTTGGCATATCTCAGAAAAAATGGATGTATGTGTGTCTGTGTGTGTGTGTTTTGTATGTCCGCATTTTTTCGTTCACGTTTTAGGGCGCACGGATCAACCGATTTAAATGGTTCCAAAAACATTCGATTCCTATTGATAAGGAGATGTGCTGATTAGTTTTTGGAAAAGGCAGGACCAGACGTCACGGAGATACAGAGGAAAGAGTGCAGAAAATAGAAATCTAGATTATGAGAGAACGCAGCATCCGATTTCAATTATCTAAAAACATTCAATTCGTAATGATGGGGAGAAGTGGTGATTAGTTTTTGGAAAAGGATGGTCCAGCCCAAGGGCGAAATATTTTTAGAAAATCATTAATGTATAAATATGTGGTATATAAATGAAAGGGGCAGCTAACACAAATTACATTGATAATTTACCCATTGCAATGCTAAAATATTTTAGTATATACTAATATCCATATTTGAATTGTTATGCTATACTTAGAAAAATGAGTGAGATTTGAATAACTCCGAAACAAATGCCAGTTTTTTCTCAAAAAAAAGTTTTATCTTCAGATTTTAATATTAAATTTATAATTTTTTTGCTAGAATTCTGCAAGACATGTACTTCTTATGAACATCGGGAAATATTTGTACAATATGATAGCCTACATATCAGTTAGTTTTTCGTTGCCAATATCTAAGAATTTATTTAAGCTTTTTTTATAAGCTCAGAAAAATCTTGATCGAACTTCGGTTAAAAACGTTCACAAAAAAAGGCGATAATAGTTAATCGATCGATTACCGAGCTATATAAAAGATGATTGGATTACTAAAATGACTATTATAAAACAATGAATTTGGAGTTGTATGTAGTTTTTCATTCCGTATTAAAAAAATGAAATATAGAACAAAATTCAAAAAAAATGTTACGGTCGTACAACCCATGATAAAAATAAAATGCTTTTTCTTTTCGAATAAAATTGAAGCTTTTTCATAAACACAAAAGTCTGAACTAAACCTAAGATTTATTGACTGAGCGCGGGAATAATGTAATTGCAACAAAATTACAAAATTGCGATAATAAAAGAGCAAAAACACAAAATTGAAAATAGTGTATATTTTATATAATTACGAGTGAATATTATAGATTTTTATAAATATTTTAATACAAAATGAAAACAAATAATAAATAAACTAATATACTAGAAAACTTTAATAAAAAATTTGGCACTGTTTTTTATATAAGCTGATCAATATCAGCCGTTTTTTTAAATTTATGTTTTTTATTTTAATTTTTTTAATGCGGAAAGTAGCAACGCGTATGCAGTTTTGATATGTTTTACTCAGTTTGATGATAGAAATTAACATATAGGTACACAAAAAGAAGTTGTCTGGATTGGATATATCATGATTACCAATACACCTTTAATCGCTGAAGATAAATCTAGAGTCAAAATTGGAACATAAAATATGGAAAAACTTTTAAAAACTTGCACAACCTTCAATCTATTTTTTTCTGAATTAATTATTATCCGGCAATTTTTCTTTTGTAGACCTGTCTAATTGTTCGCACACATACGTACTTCCAAAAAAAGATTTTATCATAATTTGATTTGCGTGTTTTTTTCAAAAGCGAAAATTTCTTAGGGCTGATATGAGATTTATGAAAAATTTCTATGTTTACTGAAAATATACATTTGTTAAATTTTTATTATTTTGCTTGGTAAATGGCGAAGAAAACATTTACGGTTTTGTTTGCTTTGAACATTTGGAATCACAATTAAAATTTGTTCACATTTTCTTTTTCTGAATATGAAAAGTAAAACACAAGATGCTGCAAAAGATATTATTCTTTATTACCGAAATGACAATGAAATGAAAGTACTACAATTGTTCTTTCATATCCAAAAACAATTGTAGTTTGCCATTTGGATCGTATACTACTTAAAGCATTGCATCCCTGTTGAGCTAATGTTCTTTAGTATTGAAAAGCACATCGCCATATTCTCGCTATAAATTGTCACAAAGTCTTTAAATTCACGATGATTTAACCCTCGCGTCTTTATAAGACTTACTTATTTAATTATTTTAAATTTATAATTGTTTTTGGACAAGTTTTTTCAATTTTTCTTGCAATATTGAAGCTTGTTAAACTAATATTTAACTTCCCGTAGGGTAAGTTATTGTAATGGGCCGAAAATCGGAATTGAAATTTTTTACATTTCTCGACGTTTTGAAGGTTTCTGAACATTTTGGCATACTTCAGAAAAAATGGATGTGTGTGTGTGTGTGTGTGTGTATGTATGTATGTATGGATACAAATTTCCAGTCACGTTTTAGGGCGCACGGATCAACCGATTTGAATGGTTCAAAAAAAAAATCGATTCCTATTGATAGGGAAAAGAGCTGATTAGTTTTTGGCAAAGGCAGGTCCAGCCGTTTCGGAGATACGGAGCAAAGAGTGCAGTAAATAGAAATCGAATCGAACAAGCAGAAAGGTACGGAATTAAATGTACAAAAAATGGCAGTTTTTGAGAGAACTAACAAAAACACTTTCTGCTTGTGTTGACAATTGCTTTTGGGAGTTTTTTTTTCTGTATGTCGGAAATAATTCAAATTTTAATTTTAATTCTAATTCTTGCTAAAGTTCTAAAGCTCACTTATATACTTAAAATAAATAATTTTAACTTTGCAATTCAGTTTATATCATTCTTCTAAATATGAGGCAATGTTACAGTATTTATTTATAATAATGTATTTGAAAACATTTAATATTCCTCGGACATTTCGTTACGGTACGGGAAGTTCCGTACCCGTACCACTAGTTACTATATCGTTTTGAAAATCCATTCGATTTTTATTCCAATTTATTCAAAAAAGTTCAAAAGCCCGCCACATTGCACGACACGCTTGTTTGGTGATTGGTATTAATTTGCTTATTCTTTAAATTTTAATATGCATATATAAAATCGGCGCAGTAAACGTTTCTAATACATTTTATTTAAATATTCATTTCATAGTATAAATATAAAATGTACTACAAATGTACAAATGTACAAATTTGTTTCTTGGTTTTTAATCCTAATTTTATTTCATTCGCATCTGGCAACACCAGTCCAACACAAAAGTCAAACTTTGTTTTTGGAAGTGCAATGATTAGTCTATTAATTAATTAATAATTAAAAATAAGGCAATAAAATATATTGCAATGCATTTAGATGTGCTTTCTTGATAAAAAATGTAGGCAAAAACTAGTTGAAATGTAGCTTAAAAAATATTCATTGTCATAACCTATTTTTTTACTAGACCAATTTTTACATATTACATATTTTAACTGATGATTAGATTATTTTTGTAAGAATTAAATATACAATACGCGAATGGGGCATAATGAAATCATATTTAAAATAACACAGCTACGTCTTTATAATTATGTCACTAATATCTCTTAATATTATGACAATTAGAAATATTATCACAATTCACTGAACATCTAGAATAAATATATACTACGCATATTTTCTAATTTTAATTTACTCAATGTTGTTATATGATACATGTGAAATGAACAAATTTAGAACAATATGTTATCTTAATTTTTCTGTTTTAGGTATCTAATTTTGATGTGCTCCTTATGTTGTATTAATTTTAATAAATATTGTAAATTTTGTGTAAACCATGGCTTCTGGAGCATCATCTCTAGAAAGCACAGGGAGTAATGGTAAGAACTATGAAATAATTTTCTGATTTATAAGAATATATTAATTAGAATTTTGCTTTAGTTTAATGACAACTTTAAGAAATGACCACTTTTTTCCAAGTAGTTCTGAAATTTTCTAACTCATTCTAAATGTGTAAATGTTATAATATGGATTAAGGCTATTGACAGTTAATTTTTTTATATTTATTTCCTATGATTAGACAACTATTTTTAGTTCTAACCACTTATAAATTTGAAGAATGTATGTGATTATATTGTATGATAGTATCGTATAAAGTTAAATATTCTTTTTTTTACAAGTGATGTGCAATTTATATGTATATATACAGTAGGCCCTCGCTTTACACGGCACTCTGGGTACACGGTTCCCATACTACACGGAGCTAAAAATCCGACATCCCTCCGACTACACGGACTTCTTATTACACGGTATTTAGTAAACAGCCCATAAGTTCGTTGTGCAAACGGGTATTGATGTAAATTTTGTTATCGACTTTTATCTTTTAGACATGCTTGATTATATAATAGCTGCCTAAGAACACGTTTGAGCTGACTACTGTGTCGCGCCAATTTTTGAATAAGGTATCAATGTCCTACATGTCATTTCGTCCGTATTTCTCCTACTTCAAGTTGTATTCCTTGGTCTCCATACAGCGCGATAAAAATGGTACGATTTGTACCAACTCTGAGTCTCTCATAGCACGGATCCCATACTGCACTATGTAAGGTTCCATAGAACGCACTACGAATTAGCCTGAATTGTATGTTAAATACGAGTTTCTTATAGCACGGTTCCCATACTGCACGGTACGCACTTGCCGCGTAAAGCGAGGGTTTACTGTATATATATATATATATATATATATATATATATAATAAATCATATGAGAAATTTCTATGCAAATAATATTTTGTAGTATAATGTGATGGCGATGGCAATAATTAGATTTCCTACAAGTACCGCTTTAGTTAAAATCTTGGGTTAAAATTCTGATATGAGATACTATTTTTAAGAAATTTGTTTCAATTTTAGCCATTTTGTTGTAATTTTATGTAGAATATTTTCTATTCACATAATCTTATAAATATATTTTTCAAATCACTCTTTTAGGATGAATTATTTATTGAATCAATTATTATAATTAAAAGCATTGCAACTATAATTTTAATTGCCGTTATGGGTTGAGATTATCGTATCATTATATCTAAGTTCATTATATATTAATTAAAAAAATCTTTGAATGTTTATTTGAAGGAGGTACTTTACAACAAATGTTCAACACAAGTAAAGATCGATCTATAACCAGCAACTCCCTTACAATGAATGATTGTGAAATATTAAAACAACAACATGATAAGGTTGTTGAAGAGTTGAATACAGTGCGAAGACAACAGACTGAAGCTAACAGGAGATGTGATCATGCTATGAAGGTAATGACTAATTTTGTGTTTATAGTATTTATTATTGTGATGTGAATCTATGATCGTTGATGCTTTGCAGTTAAAAACTTTAATAATTAATAAATAACATTAAATTCTGAGTAAATATACTAAATATTATATGAATAGTACTATTATAATTAACTTCACGAAAGAGAAGTTTATGTTTTCGTCAAAAAATCCGATTCGCTAATATTATGTTTTCTCTACGTTTCAAGCCATTCTGAATCGAATGAGACCAAATTTGGAAAAAGTATGTGTGTGAACAGATTTTTTGCCGTAAATCGACGTTTTCTCAAATGCGGCTAGACCGATTTTAAAAATTTAAAGCCATTCGATGTATCTCGATGAGGTCTAGCGTTTCTCAGTTTTGTGCAGCGAACCACATTTTAGCCCGCAATTCTGGATCGATTTTGAAAATTCAAAAACCGTTCGAAAGATATTGGTTGGGAAGCGTGCTGATTAGTTTTTGGTAGAGATCGGCATGGCCGTTTTCTTATAATGTAATAAAGTGTTAAAAAAATTTTTTTGACGATTTTTATGATTTTTTCTTGACGGTAGATACCATGGTCTTATAGATCATACTAAAATATTACGGCCCTACGACAAGTTGTTTACCTGTAAAAATTCTTCAATGTTTGCAAAAATTGTCAGTTTTGTGCAACGATCTGCCGAACCGTTTCTTTGTAATTTGGAAACAAGTGATAAACTTTTCGTCCACATTTAAGCTTATACTATCTAATCGATTTCAAAACATCAAAAACTGTTCGAAAGATATTAGTTGGGAATGATACTGATCAGTTTTAGGTGAAAATCTATCGAGCCGTTTTCTTGTAATTAATAGTTGAAAGAAAAAATTTGGCCGTTTTTTATGAAACTTTTTTTTTATGATTTATATCATAGTCTTATAGAACTTATTGAAATATTACGGCCTTACGATAAGTAGTTTATTTCAACAATTTAGTTTGAAAAATATTTATATATATTTATATATTTATATATATATATATATATATATATATATATATATTTTTTCTGGGATGCTTCAAATAAGTTTTACAATATATGTAGTGCATCCGAATACTTTCATTTGTGTGTACATATATATATATATATATATACTTTTGTGCATGTATACATATATGTATATTCTATTCTCTTTCTTCGCATATTTTTTCCATATATTTTTTCATATCTTATAAGGTCTCCTATGTTATTTCCCCTATTACATTAATTTCGTCGAAAATATTTTGCCTATGATTACAGCTTAAATCCGCAAGCTATATTTTCCATGTCCAAACTATTTTGCTCATTGATTACAGCTTAAATCCACAAGCTATATTTTCCATGTCCAAACTATTTTGCTTATTGATTACAGCTTAAATCCACAAGCAATATTTTCCATATCCCTACTTCGTAATTTTTCCGCCGGCCAAAGCGCTAATAATATTTCTCTATCTCAGTCTTTCAACCAATGACGAAACAGCTTTTCGAGTTTCCTTATCTATACATTCAAAAACAATTCATTAATTAAAAGTTTTCTAAGCATTTAACATGTTTCGGTGAGAAGAGACCTTTTTTAAAAACTTTTTCATTTATGTTTATGAGCGTATGCGTCGATACAATTTTGTCACAATGAAACATGTATGTATTCTGATTATTATATAAAAATATATTTTTTTTTTTAATTTATAATTAATGATAGTGATATTTCTCAAAAATTTATAGAATAAAAAAATATTGTGAAAGACAGATCAAATTGCTTATTCTAAAGTCGGATTGATCAAGTATATTATTTACACATTTCGGGAAGTTTATGCAACTTGCTTTTAAGGCTAAATGCACTTTCAAATAGTTTAATTTGAAATTAATGTTAAAAATTTTAACATTCTGGGCTAATGAATAACATAACTACAATTGCTTTCTTTGAAATATAACATGTAGCTTAATTTTGTTATACCATCAACATTCTTTTAATTATTGCAGGAGTTAGAATATTACAGAGGACAGCATAGAGCAGTCATGAGTCAATTAGAAGGCGCTTCTCAAGAAATGGTCAATTTGAAAACAAAGTACAATAATTTAGCTTCTGAAAAACAAAGGTAGGTATAGCTTATGAAAAATGTTACATGGTGCAATACATATTTAATACACAAACTCATGTGCAATATAATAACAAGAATAATTGTTGTTGGCGGTGTTACTTTCAATTATTGATATAAATAAAAATGTTACATAAAATATAAAAATACAAATGTGTAATAGCATATGTGAAATTATATATGTGTATATGATATGAACTTTCATAATTTATTTATTCAATTTATGCAACATTAACATAAATTTATAGAAGTGATAGGCAGGTTCAACAACTACAAGAAGAAATTTCAAGCTTACATTCGGATACTTTGATTTATGAATCCACAAATGGAGATACAAGTTCAGTGCCACTTAGAAAATATGACTCAATTAAAAATCAGTATGAATCTTTAAGGTAAAATTAATTTTCATAATAAGTTATAAAATATATATATATATATATATATACATATATATATATATATATATATACTGTTTTTACACGGAGATTGGTTCCAGAAGAAGCCGTGTAAAAAAACAAACGTGTAAAAAAAGACATTGATCTTATACAAAAATGGGTGATTTGTTCCTAATCTCTAAAACCTATTAAAATTAGTGAAAAACAAGAATTTTTAAGAACAAGAATTCATGTTTATTTTATTAAATCAAATATAATAAAAAAAATCAAAGTAAAAATTGTTTGTACGCGCTAAAGGGGAATTCACTTAAATCTTTAAGCGAGTGTTTGCAAACTATCGATACTATCGATGGTTTCAGACTTTTTTCTTTCATAAATAATTTTTTGTGATATGAACATACTTCGCAAAAATTAAATTTGACAAAAAAAATTTAAGTACATAAAATTTTAAATCGTGCTAAATGGAATAAAATCGTGTAAAAAAATTAAAAATATTTAATTTTCAAACCGTGTTATATCAAAACCGTGTACAAAAAGACCGTGTAAAAACAGACTTAGGTGTATATATATATATATATATATATATATATAAATATATATATATATATATATATATATATATAGATTTAATTGGTTATTTTTAGGAAACGTTATGACGATTTAATGGAAATTCACAAATCTGTTGAAAATAAAATGGAACAAGCAGTTGACGATAACACAATGTTAAAAAAACAGTTCGAAGATTTATCACAGGAAAAACTCGCTGCTGTAAGTGATTGCTTCTACAAATTAATTTTTTTTTTACATTTCTTACTATTCAAAATCATTCAAATTATTATTATTTTTTTTAATTCTAATATTATTTTAATTAGAAATATATTATTATTATTATTATTATTAATGATATTTAAGTAAAATTTATATCAGTTTTATTATTCATTGTTATTAGGAATATGGAATAAGACATTGATCTTATTAATTATTTCAATAATTTAAAATGCACTTAGGTTAGAGAACGCAACAATGTGAAACAGCAATATACTGCAGCAATTAGAGAACTTGATATGGCAATTCGCCAAAGAAATGAATATAAAGAAGCACTATCTAAAATTACTGGACAGTATGAAGAAGCAATAAAAGAAATTAATCAAGCAATGGCAGTTAGAATGAAAGCATCCAAGGATTTAAAACGACTTACTGAAGAACGTAATGCCGCCTTGCAAGAATACACATTAATTATGTCAGAAAGGTACCACTTTTAATATATGAAATATTGCATATATATATATATATATATATATATATATATATATGTATATATATATATATATATATATATAAATATATATATAGGGCCGGTCCTGCCTTGCATGCGATGCGTGGTTAGGGTTATGGAAATGGAACAAATATGAAAAATGAAAGCAAAATTTACTTTGGAACGAAAATTTTAAGGCTTTTTTTTATACCTAGTGGTGTCCATACACTAAATTTAGTAATTATTAACTATGCAGAAATAATACATATCAAATATAATTAGTTTTTTTCAATATAGTTCAAGAAATGTGTAATTTTTTTGCATTTTTTACTGATTATTGGATAATACTTCTAAAATACGTTAACAATTGATCACAATCACAAGTGAAACAATCTGATACTCTGAATATGACGGGAAAGCAAGGATGAATACAATTCGGCTCTTACGATATCAATAAGGAGAAGTTTACGATGCAATTTTGGATATTGTAAATAATGAAAAATTAAATTAACGTAAAATTTAAAAAATCCAACATGAAATATGAATGTTATGATTGAAAATGAAAAGCTAGTTTTTTTAGTTTTCTTGGCATGATTTGCTCAATAGAATAAATAACATAATAAATAAGTAAAATGTTTCAAAACCCAAATATTAATAATGCAATGCGTTAAAGATAATTAAAAATTTAAAAATATTTGATTATAATCAATCCGCGAATGGCCTAGATTTTCTAAATAAATTTAAAATCAATGTATTTTATATGCTTTTAGATTATATCTAATTGTTTGTGTACTAAATCCAGAATAATTAAAAATTAATTTAAAAAAATATGTAATTTTTATATAATTTGTTAAAACAGTTAATATTAATAGGGGGAAGGGGCGCTAAAAAAAAGTTGCATGCGGGCGCTAAGAACCCAAGGACCGGCCCTGTATATATATATATATATATATATATATATATATGTATATATATACATACATACAGGTAACCACCGTACAACACAGTAGTTTCGTTCCACAAAACTAGCGTGTTCTGCGAATCCGTGTTATAAGGGACAAAGAACTAGTACAAAAAGAGGGGTTACGTTCCAAGAATTCAAAAAAACATGCTACATATCATGATTTTATAATAAATATTGTTACATTTATTCATTTTTTTAAAAAATGTATACATTACTACAAAAAAGTAATATACATTACTTGAATTATATGATTTTTTTTGTCATAATTAACAAGTAAGTGCTATCCAACATGATCCTTTTTGCAAGATATCCTCATCTTCTGAGCAGTTTTTTATACTTCAGATCCGTGCATTATTTTTTGCAAAAAAAATTATATTTGCGATTACTTGCTTTTAGCAAAATGATATTTATATATTTAACGCATGTAAAGTAATCTTTACTAAACTTTTATGCTCATTTTATTTAAAGAATTGCTTAAGAATTATTTATTATATTCGGATAATCCTAGAATTTTTTTCGATAGAACATACGCGCTCTTATAATATATATCAAATTAGTTATCTGTTGCACTAGTTTTATCATATTTATTTTACTAATTTTTGCCGATTTTACTAATTTTAGATTAAATAAAGTTTGCTTTTCATAGATTTTACTATATTTCTTATTTTAATAAAACTTTCCTCAATTCTTAAACCGTGTTATGCGAACCCGAAAGTACCGTGTTTTGAGGGAGATGGTTTCAATTCTTAAACCATGTTAGACTGAATCCATGTTATAGAAGTACCGTATTATGCGGGAATTGATTGTATATATAATTAATATTATTTTACTTTTAGGGACAATGTGCACAAAGAGATGGAAAAATTGTCTGATGATCTTTCACAATCGAGTAAGAAGACAAAAGCGTTAGAAGCTCAATGTCAAGAAATTGCAGATCAGAAACAAACACTCATTTACCAAATGGAAACCTTACGTCGGGAAATTACCGCCGCTTTAAATGACCGTGACAAGGCTTTGAAAGAATGCAATGAATTGCAGGAGAAATTTGGTGAATATAAGGAAGAGAACAGAAGCAGTATGAAAAACAGGTATTTATTTCTTATCATATACTTCAATAATTTTTAATTATAGTTTTCTAGACTTATTTTGCTTATTTTACTATTTTAACAGATATTTGCAGAACTGTTTGTTTGATAAATCAGTTTTAATTGGTGATATAGCTGAATTATTAATTTCTATCATTTCCCCATTAGTTCGACTAAATCTCCATCCGCGCGAAATAATTCTACATTCGTTCTTTATCCTGTAAATTTAGAAGAACTAAAGTAAACCTTTCTATCGATAAAAGTTACTAGCTCACTGGGTCCGGATTAGATACTTAGTCTTATTCTTAAAGAATTCTATCCCTTTTTCATAGATAAATTTATGTTATGTTTAAATAAATGCTTTGATGAAGGAATATTTCCATCCCACCTCAAGCATTCAAAAAATTTTCCACTTCATAAGAAAAATAATAAAGACGATATAAATAATTACCGTCCCATTTCCCTTTTGAACTTTTTCGATAAAATAATTGAAAAAATATTGCATACTAGATTAATATTTTTTCTCAATAAATATAATATTTTGTTCAAGAATCAGCACGGTTTTCGAAAGAACCATTCTACTTCTCACTCAATTTATAATTTAGTTCATAACATCATTGACTCCTTCGAAAAAGCCACAAATTGTACTGCAATATTTTGCGATCTGCCTAAAGCTTTTGATAGTATTTCTCATCAAAGACTTCTTGACAAATTAGAAAACTGTGGTATTCGAGGACGTCCGCTTAAACTATTTGAATCTTACCTATCAAATCGAACTCAAAGCGTTTACTTAAATAATGATCACGAGCAAATAATTTCGGATAAATTGACAAGTACATTGGGTATGCCCCAAGGATCAATTTTAGGGCCTCTCTTATTTCTCATATATATTAATGATTTACCCCATTGTACAAATCTTTGTGATTTCATTCTTTTTGCGGATGACACCAGCGTTATCATCAAGGCCAAATCTCTTAATGAATTACAACATAAATTAAGTGTGGTTATGTCAGAAATAACGAAATGGTTTTTTGAAAATAATCTAGTCCTCAATAATGAGACCCAAATCATATCTTTTTGTACAAAAAATCGTTTATCCAATAATATTACTTCTTTAACCATCAATAATTCAGCATATAATTTTTCGCAAGTATCAAAGTTTCTTGGTATTCATATTAATAATAATTTAAAGTGATCATATCTCTATTTCACTATCACCAACTTTATCTAGAACATGTTTCATGTTGCGCACCCTAAAACCCAAACTCAGTTTAAATTGCTTACTTTCAGTTTAAATTGTTTCAACAAATTTCATGCTTCCCTAGTCAAACTTTTTAAAGAATTAACTTTTTATGACATTACTGAATTTTCTCAATTTGATTTCAATAGCTATTTTCTTGCATAATCCTTATCCTTTATTTATGTAGTCTGACCATTTGATCGCCTGTACAACCATGTTTTTTTATTTTATTTTATTGCTATTTTATTAATTTAAATTTTTTTTCTGTTTTAAATGATTCTAACTTTCAACCTTGTGCAAGAATTTTGAGCTTGACTGGTGGTCAAATAGACTTTAATATGATGAACTTCATGATGAACATTGTATTTAATGTTTGAATGCTTTTTTTCAGCTCTTTTTTTTCAGAAGCGAAATTTGTGCATCTACTATGATTATTATAAAATTACTATCCTTTTAATATTAATTATGAATAAGCTTGACAAGTGCATGATATAATATCTATTATTATTGATTACGGCTTGCTTATGAATAAATAAATAAATAAATTTAATGATAATTATATTATCTAAATAAATAATTATCATTTCATACATTTTGTTTATGATATTATTAGTGATTCTAATATTATCATAATATTATTTTATCAGCACAAATGCATTTAAAACAAACTATTAACCGCATATATAATTAATGTAGTGTATTTATTTTCATTTAATTATTATTCATTATTCTATTAGATTAGAATTTAGCCAACACTCTAATGATTCTGCGAACCGCGATGTATCTACCAAAGACTCAGATACTTTCCACCGTGCACAACGTGAGCGGGAAAATAATGAAAATTTAGAAAATACTAATCCAGAAATAGAGCGTTTGAGAAAAAGCATAGAAAAATTACAAAGTGAGCTAAATGAAGCAACTCAAGAAGCCGAAGTTTCTAAACGCAGACGCGATTGGGCATTCTCTGAACGGGATAAAATAGTTTTAGAACGCGAAAGTATTAGAACATTGTGCGATAGACTGAGAAAAGAACGTGATAGAGCTGTTTCGGATTTGGCTGAGGCTCTGAGGGATAGTGATGATATTAAGAAACAACGTAATGAAGCATCTAAAGAACTTAAAGAATTGAAAGAGAAGGTTTGTAATTGGAATTTAAACTATGAAAAATTAGATTCTTTGGTTATCTTGATGCATATAGAGCTTAGTAAACAATTTTATTTAGAATGTTTTTAAACTAATTAAGCCAAGGTGGCAAATTTAAAAGTTGTTATTGCTCATGTAATAGATTTTAAAACTATGATGCATCTGTTGGTATTTTATATTTTGAAATGTGCTGCAAGTCGACTACAATTTTAAAGTTATTATTTTATTATTTTTTTCTACAGGTCATGATAGTTGTTTCTGTAATTTTATCTTATTACAGGTTGAAGCCCACATTGAAAAGGAGGCTAGAACTACTAACTTTCATCCAATGCATAACAGTGGCAATAATAGATCTCAGGATAGTGCTATAGATGCCGATATTCAGGAATGGGAATGTGAGGTTCTTGATCTAGATTTTTCTAACTCGGAACCCGGTGATATTGGATTTGATATAGTGGGCGGGCGGAGTGATCCTAGGTTTCCAAATGATTGTGCAATTTTTGTGACCAATATTATAGAAGGATCACCTGCTGATGGGAAATTGAAGTAATGATATAATTATATAAAATAATATTTTAAGTTGTAGTGAAGAAATTTTATTATTACAATTACTTTTATTCATTATTATTTATATACTGATTGGTTTTCAATTGATCAACCTTTACTAACAAGTATTTACTGATTTATCAGAATGCTTAGAAAAGTGCAAAGTTCTTATGCTAAACTTTGAGTTATTTTTAACATTGAAAGAGATATATGGGTTAGATTTTTACTATGAATTTAAAAAAATTGTTGCAAAGCTGTTGAATTTGAGCTTCACAAAATTTAATTTATATTTATATAAATAATGATGTCTTAATGGATTTATTAGTGTTTTATTATTAACTTCTCAAATTCTATTAATTAATATTATGCAAATGTGAGTAGAATTTGGATTGATTTGGAACATTAGACCTACTAATGTTTCAATAATGAACTTGATCTTCAATATTCTTTTTTTTCTTTCAGATTATATGATTGTATAGCTAGGGTTAATAATATGGATTGCAGTAATGCATCTCGAAGAAGTGTTCTAGAAGCTCTGAGAAATTGTGGCTCACAATGTACACTACTTGTGAAACGACGACGCTTACATACGCGGTGCATTTATACGGTATGTAATTAAGACTATTTTGTGATTTATAAATTTTGTATTATTTCTTACTAATAAATTTTTTTTCATTGTATATTTTCAAGAATAGATATCTAATTAGTTCTATCATAAACAAAGTGAGACATATTTTTAATGGCCCCACTTTTAAATTTAATATATATATATATATATATATATATATATATATATATACATTATATATATATATTAGCATTTACAGTGGAACCTTATTTATCCGGACCTCAGTTATACGGATTCGCGATTATTCGGACTATAAGCCGCGACTAATTTATATGTATGTACTAGGGATGGGCTTATCTTATCCGAAGCCGGACAGGTTAGGATTTGACTTTGCTTCAAGGAGGAGTTATATCCGCTTAACAACTTCACGACTCTGATAATTTTGGCACCGAAATGCTCGACACAAATGTTTCCTATAGTGCGTTGCTTATGTATCTAAGGATTTGTCAAATCCCATTAATTATTTGAAATGAAAATTTATGAATAAAAAAAATTCATAGGAATAAAAAAAAAAAAATTTCTAAAAATTTCACAAATAAAAGACTGGTTGTAAAATTTTATAATACTATTGATATCACTGATAAATTTTGCACTCTAAAGTATTGTTATTTCAGGCTATGGAAAAACTTATACTCAATAAATTATACATATGAGCTATTCACACTTGAACACAGTTTCATTGCTCTGTATCTTTGAAGTAATATTTTTGTATTTTCTGCAAAATACAAAATGGCATTATTTTAACTTGTATACCTAAAAGGTTATAAAATTGCTTGGGAGACGAGAAAGCGACCGCTTCCTTCCCAAAGCAAATGCCTGCGCGAGTTAACAGATTTAATACCAGTTTAGGAAAGTCGAATATGACAAAATCTCCGACACAACTTCGCTCGTATTCACTCCGAGGGGGGAGTTGTATCGGAGTGATAACTCCGGAGTGAGTTACCCATCTCTAGCTATGTACATATCTACAATTCGAATTTTTGCACGATTAATTCTGCAGTTTATTATATGTATGTAATGCAATCTAAGAAAATATATGTACATACATAAGGAAGTTTCAATTTCTTAATAAACTTCATTTTTGTTGATATCTATGTATGTATTTGTTATTTTTAATAAATACACAACATTATTCTTCATAAATTTGATTATCCGGATTTTCGATTATCCGATTGCATATTGACAATTGCCTATTGACAATTATCGAGGTTCTACTGTATATATATAATATATATATTTATATATATATATATATATATATTAGGGTGGTCCTTAAAAAGGTCATTTTCGAATTTCCTTGCTCCCAGGGGCTCAAATGGTTCCAAATAGATAAAAAATAATTCTCTGAAAGTTTTAGCTCTTAATATTAACGTTTAGATAGAGCGCAATTCAATCAAAGTTTGTATGGAAAGAGCATGGAAACAATTTTGAAAATTAAAAAAAAATGTTTTAGGTGTAACTTAGCGATAAATGAATGAGTTTTATTCATTCAATTGTTCACTAAATTACATCTAAAAAACATTTTTAAAATTTTTAAAAAAAATTTCATGCTATTTCCATACAAAACTTTGATTGAATTGCGCTCTATCTAAACGTTAATATTAAGAGCTAAAACTTTCAGAGAATTATTTTTTATCTACTTGGAACCATTTGAGCCCCTGGGAGCAAGGAAATTCGAAAATGACCTTTTTAAGGACCACCCTAATATATATATATATATATATATTAATTTGCTAATGTGTATTTTTATTCACTTAAGTTATCAAACTATTGTTTACTGATTGAAATTTATTTTTTAAAGATACAATTTCCTGTTTCGAATAATATGGACCATGGATTAAGTTTAGAGAGTGGTGTTTATATTTCTCATATCGCACCAGGATCTCAGGCTGCGAAGGAGGGTTCACTTGCTGTTGGCGATAGAATATTAACTGTAAGTAGTTAAAAGAGTAATTATTGGAGCACAATGATACTTTATGTAACTGCATGTATTTATAATGATCCTTATAACAATAAAACTATTAATATATTTAATTAAAATTGTAGTTTTAACATTTTCATATATTTTGTTATGCAGAATTGTTTAAAATTTAAATTAATGAAGTTAAATAAGAAATAAGAATTAGATTTAAGAAATAATAATTATGTAAAGAAATAACCCACAAGGTTTCAGAGATGATCATATCTTCTAAAGGTGCGATCTCTCCTCCAAAATCTTCTTTCTTGTTCTCTCTCGTTTCTTCTATTGTGTTCATTATAATATCTTCTTCTACTATGATCAAACTCGGAAGTATGTGAATCCTCTACCGTAGTTTCTTCTATACCTTCATCATATCGACTATGTCTGGGGCGATCCTCCTCGTAATTGCGAGAAAGTTGTCGACGACTTCTCTCCTCTATTTCTCGTGTATGTCTATGATCACGCCTATGATAAAAATACCATCAACAAAGAAATATTGAAAGTTTTACTCTATATATGATTTAGACTATATTTAATTAAACTTTGCTACATAACATATATAATTATTTGATTGCATAATAATTCCTATTTTATCATAGAGTTTTTCAGTTTTTTGATAACACAGTATTTTATGAATTCAAGTTGATTTGAAAGAAATGAGCAAAAATTTTATTATAAATAATCGAAATCAAGTCAATAAATCATTGTTTTGCTAATGCTTACTGCTGCTTTCCGAATTGTATAGTGGATGCCTTCGTGTTTCATAAAGAAATAAATTAACAAGGCTATTTCTAGACCCTATATTCACTGTATTCATTATTAAGGTGCGTTCATACCTACCGAACGAGCACGAACGAACATGGCATTTGACATGCGCGTGGTTCGCTTTTGTTTGAATTTTTTAATCTGCGCATATTATTCATCATGTTCGTTCGTGTTCGTTCGTTAGGTGTGGTCCCACCTTTAATATGAAGCGCAAATATTTATTAAACAATAAACTAATTATAAATGTATTATTTTCGTTAGGGAAATGATTAATTAAATTAAATATCGTATAAGATCTAAAAGATATAAATTTATTTGCGAAATTAATTAATAACATAAATTACGATTTGTTTAATTTACGAATTAATGAAATAATTTAAGAAAAATATTTATGTTCGTGAAATCATTTATTTATCTCTGAATAATGAAGTATGCAATGTTTACTATTATACTATAATCAGTGAATTAAAAAATGTTTTTGCTTTCGCTCTGCGCGAAGTGTTATTATAATAATATGTATAATTAAGTTATCACCATTTTTATCATAAAGAATAAACATTTTCGGTATTTTCTATCATATTTACATTTATAGTTTACTATTACAATACTGATATCAAATATATTTTTTCTTTTGCTTTACGCCAGGTGTTATTAAAATAATGTCAATATCTGGATAATTAAGTTATCAACATTTTTATCATAAAGAATAGATATTTTTTAATACTTTATATTATCTTTAGTTTACTATTATGATCTTGAGTCATATATTTTTTCTTTGGCTCTATGCCAGGTGTTACAAAATTAATATCAATGTCCAGATAATTAAAAAATATTTTATCAACATTTTTATTGTAAACAATAGAATTTTTTCATTATTTTAATCATGTTTAGCTTAAACAATAAAAATGTGCCCAACAAAATATATTTTACTCACAGGATAGTGTAAAATATGATAATACATTTAATTATCCAATTATATTATATAATTTTGGCTTTAATAGAGAAATATTATGAAAATCCTACCGTTGTTGAGATTCGCGATTCCTCTCCCTCGCCCTTAACTCACTCCGTTCCGTTGCTTCAAGTTCGACGCTGAACAACGTGTCTCGTAAGGTTCCAATTACTATTTGATATCGATCATCATCCGCTGTTTGCGATTCTTCAATTAGTGATAAGGCAGTTCGCAATGTATCTATAGCGCTATTGTAATCGCCCGCAGCTGTTTCCGAAAAGGCCCTAGAAATGGCTGTACGGCAGATAATCTGGTTATTATACATAATTTTTTCGTATAGAGCTGTTACGTTCGATACTTCTTCGTTGCTCAACTGTACCCAATCGGGAACCATGCTCAATGAATTGCCGTTAAGCGATTCTTGGCCCGGGGAAGCTCCTGGTATACGGGGTTGGTTAAATTCTGGCACTGCTTCTGTATCTGGCTGCATCGAAATCCCTCCTCTGGAGTACTCATATGAATTCGTATTTTCTGTGTAAGCAACTGAAGGTAAAGGTCTGTATGTTTGTCTTGCCCATTCATGCGATTCGGATTGTGTACTTCCATTGAAAAATGGAGGTCTTGCAGAATATATCATTGGAGGAGGTGGTGGTACCATCATAAACGGTGGTAACGACGGAGAATTGTAATTTACAGACATAGGTTGCGTTGGGTACATATTCATACCATTAAAGAATGGCAATGGGCCACATGATTGCCTATTCGTAATAGGCCTCGTTCTGGATTGCGATTCCAACATGCAAAGCGCTTGTCTAGTCGGATAGGTCACCACAAGTCTACGTCCGAAAATAGTTTTTGTTGATAACCCCTCTAGACATGCACGAGCAGAATTCCCTGTACCCAAAGTTATCATGCAAAATCCTTTAGACTGTCCGTTGATCCGATTTTCAAAAAACTTCACTTCGGTGCAGTCATGAACGCCTAAGTCAGAAATGGCGTCCAATATGTGCTGATCTGAAGTCCACCAAGTTAAGTTTCCAACATATAGCTGATACTTAGGAGCGATTACTGGTAGTGGTTGAACGGGTTGAACCATATCCGAGCGAGTTTCTATTGTAGTATTATCTTCATTTGCCTCCGAAGTAGCATTCACGGGCGAGTTGTTTAGAGGGCCATGTAATGGTACTGAATCTACTATGTCTTCGTAAATGTCGATGGATTCTTTCGAATCGCTATGATGTTGCGCGCCAGTATCATTCGCAGGTAGATCAACACTTCTTTCGCTATTCTTGTCCATGTTCACTATTATTTTTGAATAATACTTAATATTCGAGCACACTACACTATTAAAATGATTTACTAGTTTACAATGCACAACCGACACAATATGAAACAAATGAACCGCGAACCATAGAACTCGCGTGAAGCACGTCAATGTGCAGTATCGCGGGTCTCACACATTGGATTCACATTGCGCACGGTTGTCAATTGTATGTGTTGGTATCACAAGTTTTCAAATATTAAATATCTAATATTGTTGAACTATAAATGGAGTAGTTCACATGCAGTATTAATTTATATTTATACTTGTAATATAAAATTTGTTAATATTGCAATATATAAATTACTTGTACTTATATATATATATATATACTTATATATATATATATATATATATACATATATATGAATTTCTTGTTTATTTGGAAAATATTTTTATAAATATATTTTGTAAAATAATATAATCAAAATATAAAACAGATAAAAGTACTTTATTTTTGAGCACTTTTATTTTCAGCCATTTTTATTATTAATTACTATTAATTTACATGTAATTGTTTTTACAGATAAATAATACGAGTATTGATGGTATTAAGAACCCTAATGAAGTCATGCGTATATTGAATGATGTGAGATACGATATGTTGACTATAACAACATTAAAACAAATTCTACTCTCAAGTACTACATCGCCAGCCAGAGAATATACACCATATATTAGGTATATTTTTAATTACACTTGATACATATATATATATATATATATATATATATATATATATTGAATAGGAAAAGTAAGAGCTTTTTTTTAAATAAACAGCAGCAGTAAATGTATAATTTATTTTTAAATACTTTGTGTTGAATATTTCAAGTTATATAATATAATTTTTTATTTACAGAGATAAGTCTGCATACATGCATCAGAGAATGGTGAATAGCTGCTCTCAAACAGAAGATTATAAAAAGCATTTGGGGTTTGAACAGCCAGTAGTTCAACCAGATAGACATTACATCGTTGCTCAAACTGATGTTTATAAGGCCTCTAGTACAAAAAGTCCTGATAAAGGTTATAAAGATTTGCATTATTCAGTTTCTTCATAGTTTTTACTTTATAATTATAGTATAATCATAATAAATTATAGCAAGACCAATACAGTCAAATGCCAATACAAACGTCATTGCATAAATGCCTACACAAAACGTTTTATTTAAATTTATCATTCGTATTTTTTTTTAAGTCTACATAGATTATTCTTGATTTTGAATTTTAGGCGGTCACAATTCAGGTCCATGGGAGATGATTAGAGAAAAATTTGATGCCGTCAGAGGTAGGAAGCATTCAAAAGATAGGCAACGTAATGAGAAGAGCAAATATCGTAATAGTTCACCAAATGCTTTATCAAACAGTTACTGGCAGGAACAAGATGCTATTGCAGAATTAGACTTTGTAATTGAGAGCTATAGAAAAAATGGTGAGCTCTCGTATATTAACACATTAAAAGTCATGTTATGTAACATGTAATTTCTAAAAGTAAGATTTATGCAAACGTTATTCAAAATTAACCTTGGTTTGTTAATTATATTAGTGCCATAATTATTTGTTTCCGATTGGATTTGATATATATTTTTTTTAGATATAAAAGATATAAATTTTTTTATTATAAATGTTTGTAATTGTTAGGAAAAAGTGGAACATCCAGCACAAAGAGCAAAAGTCGATCAAAGGCTTATTCAGAATCCAGTAACATGAAAAATGGCGGTACATGGCCCAAGGCACGTTCAAATGTAATCTTAGATGAAAATCCTACTGGCACAATAATACAACATCCTAAACGTGAGAGGCCAGCTCTTTCTCTGTTTCATGAAAATCGAGAAGATCCAATAAAAATTTCAGCTGAACAGCAGCAGCAACAACCATTTTGCTGTCAAGCTAATAATCGGAATTCAAATCCTATTCCAATCAATGTACAAGCACCTATAAGTAATGTCCTAAATCGTCATTCTGTATATAACAGTGTTGATTATCCAATGTCTTCTGGTAGTAGTGGTATACATTATAGCAAATCAGGTCAACTTTTATGTAACCAAAAGTCGTTTACACCAACTTCTGGTGCTTTTGAAAAAATAGATTATGATAGCGACAGGTTGGGCGCAGTCTCGCCGCAATTGGACATCATGAATGAGTATAAAGGAACCGGACCAATGGTATTTTCGCCCATCAAATCGCCGAATTCTATGGATATACCAAAAAGTCAAATTAGTGAGTTTTAATCATATTATTGTCTAATATATAGCTATCAAAACTGTTAGTATTTTTTTTTATTAAAACATATAATAATTTTTGATCTATCATTTATAGTTCATTTGAAATTGAAATATCATTTGATTTCATTATTACTATCATTTGAGTCCATTTGTATATTAGAAGTATGAGAACTAATTTTTCTTATTTTATTTCCGTGTTTATTTGTGTTACAAGATTTAGTGATATATATTTTTTTATAAATATTTAATAAATATATTTGGAACATTTTAGGTAAAGATATTCAGGACTACTATGGTACTAAGAAGTCAAAAAATATAAAATATTCTTCCGATAATGAGAGCCTTGGTCCAGAGAGTTTAAATCCCAGCTTGAACAGTGTATCTGGAATAATAAGCTCTCATTCTAGGATACAATCACAAATTTACTCCCCAATCACAACTACTAGCAGCATGCATAAGAGTGGCCACTCTTTGCTGCCATCACTACCATACCACATGGGCCACATTAATAAAGCACAACAACACATAGCAAGGTATCCTAGCCCAATAAATGTTGTCCAGAATAGCCAGTCTGGGGAAAGTTTAGGTGAGTTCAAGAAAATCTTCTCAATATACTGTTTATTGTAATGCATGCACACATTTTTCTGGATGTTTGTTTACACATGGAATACATTATAGTGTGGAGTTGATCTGATGCATATCTGATTTATATCTGAAATATATATGCCAACATCTAGTACATGCTAATTAAAATAAATAAATAACTAGTTGAAAGTGGCATAAACTTCCAGAAGTGGTATGAACTACCTTAATTGGCGTAATAATTAATTCAAAAATGTATTAATAACCAATATTAATTCTGTTGATTTAATCAACCTAAATTAAGTTTTAGAATTTTAGATCAAATTTTTAACTGTTTTTTTTTTCTGAAAATAAAGCCTACACTTTCAATTAAATCTAAACATTACTATTTCCAATTGAAATCTTTCAGACACATTTGAAAAATTATCTGTAATTATATTAATTATAGTGCAGGGACAAGTAAACCTGTATGTTTTAAAATTGTAGCTTATTATTCCAAATTTTAATTAATGTATACAATTCAACCAATTTTCATAGGACTGTTTAGTATATGATTTTTATCGCCATGTTAAATTTCATGAAAAACGTTGAAACATATATTGAGAAGTTTGCTTTTATTGAAATAGTAAGCTAAAAGTTTAGGGCATACAGGTACACTTGTCTATGCACTATAATTGATATAATTACGGATAATTTAAATGTGTTCGAGAGATATCAATTGAAAATCAAATTGTTTAGATTTAATTGAAAGCGAAAACTATATTTTCAAAATAAATAGTTAAAAATTTCATCTAAATATCCAAATCACAATTTTGGTTGATTAAGTCAATTATTACACATTTCGGGAAGTTTATGCAAATTAACTTAAGGCAAAATGCTACTTCCAACTAGTTACATTATATTGATTACACTGCGCGACTCTAACATTTTTTCCTGAGATGTTATGATGGTTTTTTAAGTAATTCGATGACGCTGATTCCGAAAACAAAACAGAAATTTGCTAATAGCTCTAGTTTTTGAGATATGCCAATATGTTAGTTTTACCACACATTACAATATAAAATACAACATATTTTATTTTATGATTTCAAAAGTTTTTTTATATTATTTTCGAGCATGGACAAGCCCTAACTGATTTTGTCATAAGCTCCAACAATTGTTAGCCATCATGTGGATGTCCCACCTTCCTTGATATTGCTCCTCCAAAGTTCTGATGCCTTGGTGGGTACTCTCGTCCTGCTCTTTGCTAATATCTCCAACATTTTCTAAAAACTGTTCTAAATAAGAGTGCGTTTGGTGAATTCAAATCAATTACATCAAATATATCAGTTTTTAATTCTTCCTGTCTTCTCTTTTATCGTTGGTTCCTGCATCTATTACTTGGTGGGCAGGAGATGTTGACGTTCTAGGTTGTTCATCATTAGCATGTATAGGGGTTGTGTAGCTGATCATAAGTAGACCTCAATACCATTGGGGTTGTGGTTTATGACCATTTGCTTTTTTGCCTGAACTTCTATTTATTTGATAAAATTGATATTTACCACACAGAAGAAACAACCGTCGTGGTGATTCTGAGGTTTTTCCTAAACGCCAGTGGTATTAAAATTATACAATTTCTTTTTATTTCTGGATAATAACGTAAACATACTACGCAGTTCGACATAGGTTTCCGGTACATAACATATAAACCACAGATGTAACAAAAATTACCCGAATTATGCACACAACTACTTAGAGTCAAACCCATGCCAAAAACAGCAGGTAAAACTAAATTTATTCGTTAAACTGCAATAATCATAACCGAAATGACTAATTGGGGTAGTCTCTTAAGACTCAAAAACTGGAGCTGCTACGAAAAAACGAAAGGTATATTTGAAATCATTGTGCAATTCTAAGTAGCTTTAAAAAAAAGTTTGATGAAACACATAAAAGTGCCAATTTTGTCGCGCAGTGTTATTTATAGTAAATTCAATTTTTCCTTCAGGACTAAGCTTGTCAGACAGGTACAGCTTTGAACCCCCTTATGGCGCAGCAAATTCAACCACAATTGTTGGTAGTTGCCACACTCATGGATCTTCAGTGGATCATCATCTCACATCATCACGTTCGAAGACTAATCATCATCACAATCGACAGTCAGCTGCTTTGCATGGTAGAGACGATCATAACAATGGGGCCTTGTTGGCTTATCCACATGGATACGAAGGTGGTGGTACATTTCCTAGAAAGAAAGAGAATCAAAGATTTCGAATACCTTCGAATCCTAGTGTTACAAATAGTGGTGGAAAAGTGAGCACAGGTACACAATTTCGGACATTTAATATTTCCAACACATGTGCTCAAAATTGATTAACACTTCTTTTTATCATCATGGGTAAATATATGGCTTAGTGCAAGGGGGCAGATTGCTTAAAACAAACTGAACCATACAATCATTCTTTTTCCAAAATTTTAACAATTCTATTTAGAGATTTTATTGAAAATATTAGTTGAATAATCAAGAATATTTTGTTTTGAGTTTTTATCATTTTTTAATAAAAATGGATTTAATATTTACAATATGGTTTGTTTGCGATTTTAAATCAACTCACTAATGTTATAACTTTTATATTGAATTTCATACAGGATAGTAATAATTATTCTTTTCGGTTTTTTAAAACTTCACATTTAGCATATTTTTATTTGCTTATCTTATTCCTCATATGTGTTTATGCTAATTTTTTTAATTTTGTTTGCGATTTTGGGATGATTGGTTTCGATTTTGAATCAATTAATCATAAAACACTTTATTTCAGGTTCTATAGAACGCACATCAGATCACGGTTCGCCGATGCCGACTTTTCATGTAGAAGTTTTAAGTCCAGGAAACAGTTCTCTTTCTAATGGGAAACATAGTTCTCTTCCAGATTATTGTTGCACTCAAAAACCTAGTCCAGGTGAACTAAGAAGGGTTCATATTGATAAAAGCGTTGAGCCTTTAGGCATTCAGATTCAATGTTTGGACAGTGGGGGTGTGTTTGTTTCTACTGTTACAGAAAGAAGTCTTGCTAGTCAGGTAATTTTAACATTGTTAATATTATTTAAGCACATGGTTTTAAATTTTATAAATTATTTATGTGAGATTGATGTGAGTCATGCATTTTTGCAGGTGTGTCATATTTAATTGATTTTATTGCACTGTGTCATATTTTAATTTTATTGCACTTACATAATGACTTTTATTCTTGTATACCAGCTTTCAACATACAAGGACATTGAAGTTCTTGAATAATATGTGGGTTGTACTAAATAGGGCTTATTCAATTTTTGGATACCTCTATCAAATATCTATTTTATTCAAATTTACTTATATTTGCATCGATTCTAGAAGATATTTAAAATAGCACATAAATCATTCAAAAACTAGGTTGAATCAACTTTGCTCTTGAGGATTTTGTGCTTAATAATAATATTTTAACAGGTTGGTTTACAAATTGGTGATCAATTGTTAGAAGTATGTGGAATTAATATGAGATCGGCAACTTATCAGTTGGCAGCTAATGTTTTGAGACAATGTGGAAATTCAATCACAATGCTTGTGCAATATAGCCCTGATAGTAAGTATTAATTGAAAACAAGCTTTATTTTTTTATATATTTTTTTGATATCTTTGGCAAATCATTCTTTAATTTTGTAGAATATCATGAACTAGAAGGCGGCATAATTAGCTCTAGCAGTGGTGGCGAAGGCTTAAGTCGAAGTGGTTCTCCAACTCCTAGAAATAGTCCACGTCCCGCTGTTAAGCAAATATCTAGCAGTGTACAGCAGGGAGGTGACAGTTCCGATGGTGGGGGATCAAGGGCCCAAGGACAGACTTTGACCAGGAGTCAAATAGCACAAGCAGTCACATCATTACAACGACAGAGCGTCATACAAACGTAAATTTCATATGAACTCAGTTGAAAAAATCTTCAATTTTATTGTATATATATATATATATATATATATATATATATATATATTGTGGAGTTTCGAACAAGAATCCAAAAAGTAATAAAAAACAAAAAAAAAACTTTTTAATAAACTCTTTCTTTATTTATTTATTTACTGTCTGCTTATTTATTGTTTGCTTAAATCTCCAGATCATGTTTCTTGACAGATGTCCTGAAGATGGAACGTACTTAGTTCCGAAACGTCGACAGTAAATAAATAAATAAATAAAGAAATAGTTTATTAAAAAACTTTTTTTTATTTTTTATTACTTTTTGGATTCTTGTTCGAAACTCTACAAAATATACATAAATCCAAGACTCTACCATTTAATATATATATACGAGGTCTGTTCAAAAAGTACCCGGAATTTTCGTTTTTTCAAAAAAATATTTATTTATTCGTCTACATTAATGTGGTCCCCTTCAAAGTAGTCCCCCCCAGATATAATACACTTATGCCAGCGTTTTTTCCAATTTTCGAAGCACCCTTGATATTCACTTTTTGATATGTCCTTGAGCACTCTCAGCGATTTTCTTCAATCGAGGAAAACCGCCGTCCTTTCATGGGTCTCTTCAACTTTGGGAATAGGAAAAAGTCACACGGAGCCATATCTGGTGAATTTTTGCACTTTGCAACACTTTATTTCATTTTTTACGCAAAATTTAATACAAATTCTTTGACTTTTCAATTCTTCCATTGTAAAAATCGCCGAGCTCAGAAAAACACGTCGAACCTTAGCGACTACCACAGACAAAGTAAACAGTGAATATAGCTGAAAATTTCATCATACTTTAGGGGCATGTATACCAACACAATAAAAAAAAAATTTTGACAATCAGACACTCCAGACCCGCGAAATTTAATTATTAGTAATTCCGGGTACTTTTGAACACACCTCGTATATATATATATATATATATATATATATATATATTGAATGGTAGAGTCTTGGATTTGTGTATATTTTGTAGAGTTTCGAACAAGAATCCAAAAATAATTCTTATTTTGGATTCTTGTTCGAAACTCTACAATATATATATATATATATATATATATATATATATATATATTAAAAATATTTGTCTTATATTATTTTATGCAGTAAGTGAACTATATGCCATTTGTTCCACTGTTATACTTTACACAATATAATAATTTCATAAAAAAATGATTCTACTTGAGAATATATTTCAAGTTTTTTTTTTTTTTTTTTTTGTCATGAACTAATCAGGTTCGGAAACTGCTTTAAATATAAGGTGACCATATGTCCCGGATTGGCCGGGACAGTCCCGATTTTCCGCCTTACGTCCTGATTTTTTCTAAAAGCAATATTTGTCCCGGTTTTAGGTGTTTTGTCCCGGATTTTTAAAAATAGTTTGATTGCCGATATTTTTTTAACTATATTTCAACTAGAAAATTTGAACCAAAAAACCTTATTAAATAGCATTTGAGATGAGTAATCTCTACTACTGTCTTCAAACTAAAAGCCTGTAATATATCAGGTGTAAAATTTATTTTATCAAAATCTTACATAATTTATAATACTTATTTTTTATGATTTTATTTTAGAAGTCGCCCACCATTGCAAGATCAAACTGTAGCATTGCCTCTCCAGAACCATCATCAACATTCACAACAGCATCAGCAGCCCCAACAAACAGTGCAACAACTCCAACAGCAACAAACACAACAAAATAATGAGACCCGATTTCTTTTTATTGAGACCAGAAAATGTTCGAACTTAGGTATCAGTTTGGTGGGTGGAAACGCTGTAGGAATATTTGTTCATAGCGTGCAAGCGGATTCCCTAGCTCATGGAGCTGGACTTAGGACTGGTGATCAGATACTTGAGTATAACGGTTCTGATTTAAGAAGGGCTACGGCTGAACAAGCGGCTTATGAACTAGCCAAACCAGCTGATAAAGTTACTGTTTTGGCTCATTATAATATGGAGCGTGAGTATTATATAAAATTAGAATTTATATTAAATATATATATATATATATATATATATATATATATATTTGAAAGTAACTAGCAGCCCATTGGTCGAAATAAAAAAGGTATAAAGTATTGTAATGATCATTACAGTCAAGTCTTTCGCTTGATATGGGCGTGTTTCATGCGTCATAATGTTACATTTCAAAACTTTTTTTAAAATGTTTTTAATTTTGTAGTTATTCATTATTTTCCAAAAAAATTGCCCTTTTCTAATATGTTACAAGTTTAATTTTTTTAAAATAATTTTTTTTTTGAGTGTTTTTGTCCTGTGTTGCTGAATGATGACACGCATCTGGTGTCGAAACGTATAAATAGAAGTTTTTAATACTTTATACCTTTTTTATTTCGATGAATGGGCTGCTAGTTACTTTGAAATATGTTTCAACGTCGAAAAAACTATCAAGGTATATATATATATATATATATATATATATATATATATATATATGAACGGGATTGTGAGTTCAAACCCCTCTCTGGATAAATTGATTCGTTCAGTAGCGATGTTCGTCAAAAAGTGCCAAAAATGGTAACTCAGTTTTTAACGGAACGGAGCGTCCGATTTTAATAATTCAAAAAACATTTTACTTTTATTGACAAGATGAAGAACTGATTAAATTTTTGGGAAGGCAGGTCTAGCGGTTATGGACTCTCAATGAAAATAAGTTAAAAAATTGCCATTTGGTGGTCAAAAATGTTTGTTGAAGAGATTTTAATATTGTGTACACATTTTGTGTAATTTTTTTTTGTGTTCCGTACCAAGATTTTCCAGTCAAAAAAATGTTATTCTAAGTTTAATATGATATATATAATATCATTAGATAAAATTCAAAATTTAAATTCTCTGAAGTATGAATAATAAATTTATAATGCTTGCAAAATCAGTTGAATTATTATTTTTTTTCTATTTATTTTTATCTAATGAAGTATATAATTTAGCGATCACGTATCGTGAACAATAATGCGGCATGATCGAATTTGGTATATGACTTGAGTTCTTCTATATAAATATATACTATTTTAACTTAAATATTTTTTAATTTTAGGTTACAATGAAATTAAAGATAAACCAGGAGATTCACTATATATTAGAACGGGTTTTGATCGTTTGGGAGACCTTGGCGATTCATTGCAATTGCGGTTCAGTAAAGACGATGTGTTATACGTTGATAACACAATGTTTAATGGGGTTCCAGGTCATTGGAGGGCATGGCAGCTGGATTCCGAAGGACATCGAAGACAATGTGGAATCATACCTAGCAAATACAAGTATGTGAACTACAGATGTCATCCCATAATGACAAATAGAAAAATCTTAACAGAGTTACATTATTTAACTATTGTGTTTTTTTCTGTTATTATTCGACCGATATATGAGTTATTGGTTGAAGTGCATAAGTTATTAAGTTACACTGATCAAATTACAACACATATTGCTATACTTCACTTATCATCAAGGAAGTTATTAACTTATCGAAGGAGAAACAATCCGATTCGCTAATTTTATGTTTTTTCGACGTTTCAAGTCATTCTGAATTGAATGAGATCAAATTGAAAAAGTATGTGAGTGTGTGTATGTGAGCCGATTTTTGATCTTTTGTTAATGTTTTTTTTATTAACTGCTGGACTGATTTCAAGAATTTAATAGCCATTTCATGTAACTCGATAAGGACTATCAGTTTTTGTGCGACGTTCGGCCGAGCCGTTTTTTTCAAAATTAAATGTTCGGAAAAAATTTTTTGGCGGTTTTCACGTAACTTTGTGTGGATAGATTTTGTAGTCTGAAATTTTAGCCCTGGGTTTGAGCTTTTTAATTTTAATCATTCTATGCCGCAGCATATGTACGTTCTGTGGTGTTTAGGTAGCTACTGATTACAGTTGACGTCCACACTTAAATAAAATACGTTTTTAGGGCCTGAAATATATGAAATGAAATGAGTTAACAAGTTTATTTAATTTATATGATTTATGATTAAGAATATTATAAGTATGTTTAAAAGACGTCAATTGGAAATCGTATTGATTATTTTTTAGTGAAAGAGGAAATGTTATTTTCGATTCTTTTTTATTTTGAAATAAATTTTAATATTTTATCTAAATAGCTGAAAGGGGGATGTTAAAAATTATATGTATTTGACATGTATATAATTCTTTTCTAGTGAAAGCGGAAATATTATTTTCAAACAGTTGAATATTTTATCTAAATAGCTGAAAAGGGGATATTAAACATTATATATTATGTGTATTTGCATATGTATATAGTTCTGTATAGGTTTATTTCTATTTTTTTTTTAAATACACGGGGTACTGTAACATAGACAAATATTGTAGAGTTAAAATTATTTTTAGGGTTGAAGAGGAATTGATGTTACGCCGGTCTCTTGGGGACATTGACAATGAAGCAAGGAGGGGTTCTACTTCTGCGAGAAGATCATTTTTCCGGAGAAAGAAACATCAAAGAAGTTCATCGCGAGATTCCAAAGAGTTAGCTAGCTTTAGTAACATCACATTGGGCTGGTATTCTGATTCCGGCGCACTGAACGAAGAATGCGCCAGTTACCAGAGAGTCGAACGTCTTGATTGTAAGTTGTCAATGGTTAATGAATGTAACAAATTTTATACCCAATGTGTGAATTGAAGGCTCAAATTATTCGAAACTTAAATTTTTAATAGAGAGTCATATTTTTATTAACAAAACTTATATTAAACTAACTAAAAAATAAGAAATTTAAATGCATAATGTCATTACGAATATGAAATTTAAAAAAAAATTATGTTTATCAATAGCTGCACTAACTTATTGAATGGGCTATAAATGGCATAATTTTATTTTTGATTTTTGGATTAGAATTCTCATTAATATAACAGAAACAGTTTGTTCATAGTGATCTAAATTTCTATTTATGCTCTATGAATAATTAATTCATTATAACAGATCCAGTGTTCAGGCCGGTGCTAATTATTGGTCCTCTGGCTGATTGCGCTGTTGATAAGCTGGTTGGCGATTTTCCTGATAAATTTAAGCGATGCATACCTGAAGTGATGCGGTACAATCAATCTGCTATGGAAAAGGGCGTACAAGATAACGTTTTTGTTGATTTCAAGAAGAAGGGTGTTTATTATGAATGTACCTCGGTCGCTGCTGTAAAAGATATCTGTGATAAGGTAAAAATTGTCATCAATTTTGCTACATTATTAATTTTGTTAATTTGCTATGCATGAATTAATGCTATGCATGGTTAATATTGATATCATTCTATATATTTGAAAATTAAATTTACTAATTACGATTATCACAATGTTTTAAGTGATTGTGACTGATTGCTTTGATCGATTATGCAAATGTAGAAACTATTCAGCAAATTATGAATCTTATTAGCTAGCATTAAAAAGTTTTTAATGGGTATTCAACAAAATTCACCAACTGTGGTACTCAATTATTTTTACCTTTCAAGGATGATCATACTTTTTGCTATTGCAAAATGCCATTTATATTCTGTTAATTAATAATGTTTATTATAATTCAGGAAACATAATTTATTTTCGAATTGAACTTATTATTGTAAAGTAATATATAATAATATGATATGATAAAATTATATTGTCTTACAGAATACACACTGTATTTTGGATATAAGTGTAACATCTGTTGAGAGGTTGCATAGACAACAAATTTATCCCATAGTATTATTAATTTAGATTTAAATCTGGAAAGCAGATCAAGGAAGTTCATGATGCAAGGTAAGAACATTTTAATAAGCTTCAGACAAATGCACTTAATTATATTATCAAAATTTCAAGTTGCAGATTATGTTTTATTCAACAAAATTCAATATTCAAGCTTTTTTTAATTACTTTATATTCAGCATTCATATCACATTTTAACTATTGCAATTAAATATTTGAATATAATTACAAAACTTTGGGTGTGAGATTTCTTTTATAATATGCAATATGATTTTTCTAATATATGTCACAAACAGTACTTTACTGTAACATTATAGTTTATAATTTATAATCTTTGAATAACTATCGTAATGGATTATAAATATTTACTAACATTATCGGGTTATATTATTTTCAGGTATCCAATGGATAAAGTGTCAGCTAAAGTAGCCAAAGAAATGTATGAACATGCATTGAAATTGGAAACAGATTTTAAACATTTAATTTCTGGTAAGTTTGCTTTTTTTACAGACGTGCATGACACTCACATATCTTTTGCACTTATATATTCGACTTGTTATTAAAGTTATTGAAAATATTACATTATTTAAGTTTTTTTATGCGTGAACTTTATAATAGATTTTTTTTTACACATTATTTGATTATTGTTGAATCACACACATGAAAATTTATTTCAAACAGTATTTTACTTTTTTGTAGCTGTGATTCCGGCTGGTGTAAGCATTGCGTATATATGTACGCAGATTAAAGCGGCTGTTGATTCTGAACAAAGCAAAACCCTCTGGGTTGCTCAAAACAATTGATCGATTTGAATATTGTAAATATATTATTCAAATTATTGAAATAGTTTAGCACATATTAATATAATGCACAAATGAGGAAAGGGTAATTTAGAATATTTATCTAACCAAATAAAATAACACCAATGTTTTATTCATTACTCTAAAATTAAGAATATAATATATGAGATAGTAGTGACACTATATTACAAATTTATTGCTGAATTTTCAAATCAACAAAGGAATAATACTGCGCAAAAAAACGTTTCGGGAAACATTAAATTATTATTTAAATAAAGTATGACTATATATGTTTTGACATAAATTCCTGGTAACGGTTGAACTGGATTGAAATAAATCAGTAGATAGAAGTGAAACAATGGATTTTTAATCTTTTGATTGAATATTTGTATAACATAAAAATTATTGGTTGTTTTATACACACACACACACAATACACATATATTATATATATATATATATATATATATATATATGTGTGTGTGTGTGTGTGTGTTGTGTATTATAACAATGTAAATGTTGATAATTCTTCAGCAGTTTTATAAATTCTGTTTACAAGTTTGGTATCAAATGTATGTGAAATCTTACTTTTTTAATTTAATTCGTTAACTAACATAACAAAAAATAAACAGATAATAATTTGGTATAAATGAAATTATATACATAAGAACATTCAAGTGATAACAAATTGACTCTGCTTATGTTTGACTTAAGTTCTTTATATAAAATTTTGCGCAGTGTAATTCACAGTTGGGTTTGAATAAAATAGTTGGCTGCTAATCAGTAATTTGATGCAATAATTATAAATGCTTTAAAGTTAATGACAATAATTCATAAAGTAACTAAAAGACTTCTACACATGCTACATGAAACACATTATATACTTATATACATATACATATATACATATAGAGCTAGTAAGGTAATGGGACACAGAAACGCTGAACCTCTACCGAGATCTTTGTTTCTTGATACATACATAGAATACATAGAGAATAAATATTATGTATATTGAACATCTATCTCTCTTGAAAGAAAGAAATATTAATATAAAAATCAAATCGAAAATACAAACTTTCTTGAAGAATCGTTAATGCTGGATAATTTTCAATTATTGTCAATTTAGAAAAAATGGCTCTGCATCTATGTATATAAATATATATATATATATATATATATATATATATATATATATATATATATATATACATATATCATAACAAGTAATTATTTTTATATATAAGTATATATGGTGTATTGAGTAAAACCACATTTAGGATTATATAAATTTGTTAATATAAAATGATATTTTTATACCATATTGAAAATATCTTTTTAAAAATTGGCCTTCAAAAGATTTGTATTAAATTATTTTTAGAAAACCAATTAGGTTCCATGATATCAAAACATTGTTGATTTAATCAAAGTATAAAGAGATACTATATTTGAAACTTTCTTGAAGAATCGTTAATGCTGGATAATTTTCAATTATTGTCAATTTAGAAAAAATGGCTCTGCATCTATGTATATAAATATATATATATATATATATATATATATATATATATATACATATATCATAACAAGTAATTATTTTTATATATAAGTATATATGTGGTGTATTGAGTAAAACCACATTTAGGATTATATAAATTTGTTAATATATAAAATGATATTTTTATACCATATTGAAAATATCTTTTTAAAAATTGGCCTTCAAAAGATTTGTATTAAATTATTTTTAGAAAACCAATTAAGGTTCCATGATATCTAAACATTGTTGATTTAATCAAAGTATTAAAGAGATACTATATCTGAAAGCTACAGTATAATATGTGATTTAAAAGATTAAATCGATTCTTTGCAATAATTGTTTATTAACTTTATATATGAACTAACATTTATCAAAGAGTTTTATTTATATTAAGTACAAACCATGCAAAATTTTAACATGATATTTAATTTTTTTTATGATTTAGCTCCGCCCTTTTATAAGATATTTAATTATTGAATAATTTCATATCAAAATCTTGAAATTTGGTATTTTGCAACTTTTTTTGACCACTCGAGTTAGAAACTGCAATAAAACTCTGTTGCCCCACATTTATAAAATGTTTTCATAAAAAAAAAAAATTACGCTTCTTGAATAATTATAATATAAAAAATGAAAACATATGATTAGCATTGAATAAATTGAATTGAATTTTGTGTACACATTTAAAAAAATGGTATATGTATATATTTGTTTGAAATAAAATAAAATTGAAATAATATATTAACTATAATAAACTGTTAAAATTAAATTTTTCATAAATTTAAACAATTGTTTATTTTGAATCTGATAAAATAATAACATTTTTAATTATGTTGTATTGAGGCAATAAATGAATTTTATTCTGTTATAGTTATAAAATATATTTAAGTATTATAAAACGCTTTACAAACGTTTCGGAAGCAGCTATAATTTTTCCTTCATATTTGTAATTAATTGACTTAAATTTATAAATTTTATTTAAAATATATTTTATTTATCTAAATTTAATAAATGTACATAAATTGTTCGATATTGTTTTATTTATTTTTAATTTGAAATCATGAAGGTAGTGGGGAAATAAGAACTTAAAAAATAATTTCACTCACTGCACGCATTAAATCATTTTAAATTTCACTATTAGTAATATCATTCTAAAACCAGTAAAATATATTCTGTATTTTTATCGGTACCTATAAAAAACAGTTTCTATATTATAAAATATTTCATCATTTCCGAAATTGGTTTTCAAAATTTTCATACCGCGCTCCCTCCCGACGTTATTTTTTTAAATTTATAAATACTCAACAGATATTATGATTTATAAGGCTACAAATTAATATAAAAAATATACATTAAAATTAATATTTATTTATTCATGTTTTTTATCATTTGAACATTGTTGGTAATAATATTTTGAAAACAGATGTAGGCTCGCTTTGCAACAGTCTCGCGCCCCACAGGTTGGAAAACACGGTATTACTATCAATCAACAAGCTAATATACGCAAACTAATTTTAATTTTGATCAAAATTAAAATCATTGAAAATAATTACATTTCAATGAAAAGAATTGAATGTGGATAAACATGTTTATTTAGAAATACAGATAAGCATCATTTCATAACGGCATATAGTTATCAGTGCTGATAGTTTGACACTTTATTTCAGATTAACAGATCCTCAGATTTTATCAAGAATTTAACATTTTGAACTCACATAGTAGTATTCAGATTTGATTATGCCAGAAAGGGAATTAAAATTTATTAATAATAATAAAAATTTAATTGTTTATATAAAACATGAAATTGACAAATTCATTGATAATTAAATATTTAACTATCAATGTATTTCTGAATTTCATGTTACTCACATTAAGTTTGTTTGAATTAATTGCAAATTTTAAAAATATAAAAATTATAAAAATTCTAATGATTCATACTTCGTTTAATTATCGAGTTGTAATCTGTTTTATCAATTACAATTAAACATCAATTATTTATTAATATATACGCAAATGTTTACTTGTTGTTAGCCTTCGGCTTTTGAATACAAATGCATGTAATTATAAATTAACGAATTATGTTGTTTTGTTGTAATTACGTGTCACTATTGTTATTAAAAATAATTATATAAAATCTTATGCCATATAATTAATATAATAAATGTTCTTTCTCTGGTAATATTCTAAAATTCGATAGAATTTGGATTCGGGAGTTTTTACTTTCACATTTTTATTTATATTTTTTTTATTTCCATAACAATTAATATTTTTTTTATGTTCTATACCATGGCTTCTTAAACTATATGTATGAAAATTATGGAGTCGCAAGAGATTTTAATGTCACATATATTTATATTTAAAATTTATTTTTATATATGAGTATTTAAAAATAATTTTAAAATTTGCTTATTAAAATGTAAATTATTTTGATTAATTTTTACAGTGATACCGTCATTATTTAAAACCGTTGCAATTATTTTTATGAGTGAATAAATTAGCGATTATATTTACAAATAATAATTTAGCTACTGCAATTATTGATTAAACCGTGATTGACTACTGTTTTCAATAATAATAAAAAATAGTAATAATGATAAAAAATATTTACAAACATATGCGACATTGACCCCGACTACGCCACTGTTGGCATGGAAAACATGCGCTTTGACCAATTGCGCATTGTGTCATTATGAAGTTGCGTGCCGGCCGTTGAGATTTGTACAATTCTAAAAAGATATTGTTGAACGGCGTATTTCTTAGCTAAATTGAGTTCGAATCAAAGTTATTTGTATTTGAACGTAATTCAGTGTTACATCTGACTGTTACCATTAAGTGAAAATGGAGGCCACAGGAGAAATTATGGTTAATAAAGAATATTGCAATTACACTTCGCCTTTGAGCACCAGATATGCCAGCAAGGAGATGCAGTATCTTTTTAGTGATCAAAATAAGTTTTCTACTTGGAGAAAACTTTGGGTCATCCTTGCAAAAGCGGAGAAGGTAATTGTGCTAATGTCATCAACTATTCATGTTCGACTTGATTTTTAGGTTAATTTGGCATGTGCCGATGACATGGGTGTAGCTTGAATGAGTGTAAAAAAATCATTTACAGTACGGTGGTAGTTGTGGTACCCCGCCGTACGAGCTTAGGTCTAATTGCTTGTATCTCGAAGCAATTTTTTTTTATGTAAATTCATGAAATGACATTAATTCCTTCCGTCACAGTTTTTTTGATAATAAAAATAAGAGGAACCTAATTATTAAGATGAAATACATATTCTGCAAAAACATAGAAAATTACTATGTATATTCATTTATACTTATAATAGTAAATAATTACTAAATTATCATCATACTAGTTTTTGCGTTTAGGAAAACTATTCAATGAGCATCTTTAACTTCCTGTAGGGCAAGTTATAGTAATCGCAAAAAAACGAAAATGAAAATTTTTATATATCTTTACGTTTCAAAGTTTTCTGAAAATTTTGGCATACCTTAAAAAAAATTGATTGTGTGTGTGTGTGCGTGTGTGCGTGCGGATACAAATTTTCGTCGACGATTTCGGGAACACGGATGAAGCAATTTGAATAATTTAAAAAACATTCGATCCGTATTGATAAGGAGACGTGCTGATTAGTTTTTGGCGGAGGTAGGTCTCGCCGTTCCGAAGATATGGAGCAAAAAGTGCCAAAAACGGTACCTCAGTTTTTAAGAGAACGGAGCGTCCGATTTCAATAATTCAAAAAACATTTTACTTGTATTGACAAGATGATCAAATTTTCATGAAGACAGGTCTAGCGGTTTCGGAGATCTAACAAAAAAGTAAAAAAAATGCCATTTGGCGGTCAAAAATGAACATTAGACATATGCACATCAAATTA